CTACCACAATAGAAAGTAAACACGAAAGGGCCACGAGCATAGACTTAACATTAAGCAACTTCATTGATATGATCAAGTGGGAGGTATACCAAGAGGCTCTGAGATCAGACCATTTACCTATAGTAATACAATTGGATATAAATATGCCATCGATCATCCATATAAGACCAACAAAAAAATGGAACATCAAGTTTGCGAATTGGCAAGAATATACACAAAAAATATCAAGGCTTAGTAGTGCAGTTAAAAATTCCGAAGATATAACTTTAAAATACAGAAATATAATGAAAATTACAGAAGAAGCTGCAAAAAATAATATTAAACAATATAAAGATTCAAATAAATCTATATTTAAACCAGCAGTGTGGTGGGATGAGGACTGCGAAAAAGCTATTTCAGATAGAAAAAAGGCTTACAAAAGGATGCCCCAGAAATACAATTACGAAAACTGCATCCAATTCCAAAAAATAAATGCTCGTACCAAAAGGTTCTTGAAAAACAAAAAGAAAGAAAAGTGGATAAACTTTGTGAATTCAATCTATTATAACACAAGTCCTACGTTAGTATGGAACAAAGTTAAAGTTTTTAATAATAAAAACAACACTATCAATTCAAGACTAAAGATTACAAACAATTTCGGACAATTATTGCTAAAAGATTATACTCCGGACTATGTTTTAGATGACGGTGAGAAAAGCGCGCACAACTATTATGGTGATAACGAACTGACAGTAACTTTTAAACTGGAAGAACTTGAAAAGGCTTTAAAAGACAGAAAAAATACTGCACCAGGATATAATGATGTGCCGTATAAGATGATGAAGAAGTGGCTAACAGAATTAAAAATCGAACTGCTAATATGTTTCAACCAAATCATTACAACCAGTTGGATACCTAAAGATCCCAACGGAAATAGATTCATACCGATCGATATCATTGATCTCATGTATTGCCAAAACTTTTAAGAGAATCATAAAAGAAAGAATAGACTGGTATATTAAAAACAAACACGTGTTAAATGAAACTTTTTTCGGGTTTAGAAGAGACAACGACATACATATATCTAATTCCTCTAAACAATATATGCTCGTAGTATCCTTGGACATTGAGAAAGCATATGATAACGTGGATTATAATATATTGGTAAAGAAATCTAAAATTACCTCAAAACTTAATTAATGTAATAATGAAATCACTAACGCAAAGGCAACTATACCCTAGAACTGACTATGATTTAATTGGACTTAGAATAATAAACCAAGGTCTAACCCAAGGATCAATTTTGAGTCCTATCTTAATTTATATATACATGTCTGATTTTAATTTAACATCAGCATTGAATATCAAAAAACTGCAATGTGCAGATGATATATATATATATATATATATATTTATATATATATATATATATATATATATATATATAAATATATATATATATATATATATATATATATATATATTTATATATATATTAGTGATGTGCCAAGTCAAATCAAGTGATTCGAATCATTCGAATCAAGCCTTTAACGACTTGATTCGAATCAGACTTTACTTGATTGATCAAGCCACGAAATATTTACTGTGATAAAACATGTGTGAACACAAATTTTTATAAATAAAAAAAAATGTTTTAATTTAATTCAATATTATAATAATGTAAATAATAATAATAATAAATATAAAAAAATAATAATAATAAATATAAAAAATAAATCTTGAATTAAATCATGCGAGTCACCCGGCTTTAATACGCTTAAATATATCACCCGACTGCACCCGACTCCAATTTATATGACTTTAACCGCAATCATTGTCTAACAACACCATCCGAGTTCCTATGACTCAAACCGACTTATTTCGACTTCAAGTCGAAATGAATTCATCCGAGTTCCTATGACTCAAACCGACTTATTTCGACTTCAAGTCGAAATGAATTCATCCGAGTTCCTATGACTCAAACCGACTTATTTCGACTTCAAGTCGAAATGAATTTATCCGAGTTCATATGACTCAAACTGAATCATTCCGACTTGGGTTCGAAACATGTGTCCGTGTTTTAGCGTATCGACTTATCGAGATGCTGTGCGTATGGGTCTTGAGTGTTTGTTTATTTTTGACTAAGCGCTGAGAGCAAATTTGTTCATGAAATATCAAAAACTCATTTAGATAATAAATACGCGATTTAAATTTTAATTATTATCAAAATAAACTACACAACGAGTTTTATACACATACAAAATTATCATATGTTAATTATGCAAGTAATGGCAAATTCACACAAATGAAATAATATCAATCTTTACAGTAGTGGATCGAATTTTAAATCATTCGTAAGACGTTAGATTCAGCCCCCTGTTTATATTAGATCTAAACAATCAATAATATACACATGCATTCTTTCAACGTAAGATTAAGAATATTGTTTTATATGCTTTAGTGATAGAGAAGTGTTTGGTTATATTTTACTGTAAATTCACTTGAAATATTAGTTATATTTGTAGCTAGTTTATTATTATATATATATAATATAAATGTAGTCATCACTGCACTTAATTAATTATTTCACTTATAAAATTATTAAAATGATATTATTTCTTCTCTTAAATTATAATTGTTCATATATGAACTTGATTCGAATTGATTCGAATCAGGTTTTTTTCTGATTCGAATCACTCGAATCAGGAAATTTTCGAGTCGGCACATCACTAATATATATATATATATATATATATATATATATTTATATATATATATATTTCGCACCCATCTATAGAAACTTGTACTCGTATATCAGAAATAAGTATGTCAATAGAAGAAACCTTAAAATGGCTGTCAACAAAAAATCTGAGTGTATCAGCAACCAAAGTTTTAGCGGCGGTATTTACCAAACATAGACTTCCTAATAATATTGGACAAATAAGGATAGGGAATCATGTAATACAAATAAAAGACAACATAAAAGTCCTGGGTATCAACTTAGACACAAAAATGAATTTAAAAAAAAACCATTAGTGAGACAACAGCAAAGTGCGAAAAGGGACTAAACATTCTACGCAAAATCACAAATACAAAATGATGAGCTCACCCAGAAACATGTTACCAAAGTACCAAAGTGTACTTGGAGCAGTACCAAAAAGCGAACAGAAAAAGTTGGACAGGATACAGTTTTCAGCGGTTAGAACTTGCCTAGGAGCATTTCGATCCACACCAACAAATGTTTTGATAAATGAAGCTGGCGAACCTCTTTTAACAATTAGAAGACAAGCATTATCAAAAAGATTTCCAGTAAAGAAAATGAAGGCTGTGACGATATTCCCAAGCAATAAGAAAACTTGGCAAGAGTGCATGTCACCAGCTCCTTTTGGAAATATAGACCTGCGCCACCACTAATAACGACTAATAAAAACGAGCTTTTATGAAATCAAACCTTACGAAGAATTTATATTTACTAATGAAAAATACCATACTATAACTTTCCTGAAGCATATGCAACGGTAAACCCTTATATAGCCTTAAACATTAATTTAACAAATTTGATAAGTATCAGTAAAATCTGCAAAAGCAAGGACTTTGAAGACAATATTGCTATAAGATATCCAGAACATTTGCAGATATATATCGATGGATCAAAAATGGAGAACAGTGCCGGTTATGCCATATATGTGTCAAATCATAAATATAGCAAGAAGTTAAAACTACCAAATTTTACATCGATCTTTACAGCGGAGATTATTGCAATACACACTGCAGTCCGGCATGGGAAAACAAAATATCAAAATGTATTATCTTCAGTGACAGCAAAGCCGAGCATATTGGCTTTACAAAGGCCAAATAGAAGATCAAGCCAATTAATTTTTGAAATAATAAATACAATGAAAACAATGAATAACAGCGAAAACTCTATGACATTAGTATGGATTAAAGGACATGCAAATATTATAGGAAATGAAACTGCAGATATTCTGGCGAAAGAAGCCTGTCAAAATGGAGAAGAATACACGAGGCTGCCGGCATTAGAATTAAATTATCTGGTTAAAGAGCAGAGTTTAAAAACTTGGCAAGGAGAGTTTTCAAAATCTTTAAGTAATAAGGGTTCAACATACGCTCTAACAAATATGAAGATAACACAAAAAACGCGATTTAAAAATGTAAAAGAGGTTAAAACATTTATTTCTACTATATCAAGACTGAGATTCGGGCACACAAGAAGCAAATCTCATCTTGTAAAAATAGAAATAATACAAAATCCCACGTGCTAGTTTGGGAGCGAACTAGAAACGATAGACCATATTTTTTTGGAAATGTGAAATATACATGAAACAAAGAAAAACCATGTACAAAATGTTACAGGACAAAGGAATCGTGTTCCCTATAAATTCGCAAGTGTTGATATCTTACAATAATGTTGACATATACAAAATTACGTATAAGTATATAACTGGGCTCGCCCGTAGGTAAGCGGTTAAGAGCGACGGGACTTGTTTCAGAGGTCCCGGGTTCGATACCCACTTCGAGCAGCCTGTTGTCAGACAACAGTGACAACGATTTTCACTTGAAAATATAAATAGCAATATGTTTCCGAGTGAAAATAGCCATCATCCGGCATTGTTGCACCATACTTGCCCTATTACAGAGATTGTAATAAAAATTTATCATACAGAGATGTGACAACTGTTTGGGTTGCCATCTGTAATAAAACAAACATAGTTTGTAAGATATTAATCACAACAGCTCATAGAACCCATAGGTTGCAATCGCTGTTCAAATAAAATTATAAAAAAAAGTATATAACTAGCATTAAGATTGATTTATAAGTTTGGTATAGTAAATAAATGTAGATATATATGTAACTGGCGAAATGATCGAAAGATTGAAAGCCATAAATAAATAAATAAGAAAAATGTATTGCGTAATCATTAACTGACTTGTTAACAGTGTTGTCATTAAGAATAATAATAGATATGAAATATTTAATACAAATTGTCGATTTAAATTACCTGTTCCATTCATTAAAAGGCACCGCAGTCTTTTTGATCTTTGCATGAGAGTTTTCAATGTCGAACCACGAACTTTGTTGCAAAAATTGACTGCTAGACACTCGAGCTGAAAAATAAACGGAATAGATAAGAATTTATAATTTATTAGATATTCATTGTAACAACAATTAAATAAGTGATTTTTATCCATGTCTGTACATACGACCAACAACACACATATATATTCAAATAATAAAATAGAAATAAAAATGAAAATATTTTATGGACTAAATTTAATTGATCCATACGTTTCGAGTCCCAATTTGACTTTTTCTCAGTAGAAACAAAATGACAAAAATATATATAAATTGATCATAAAATAAGTAACATAAATATTGTACAATAAGTAAAAACAAGACTTAAAGAATACACCTAAGTAAAAGTAACATAAAACATGTAAACATTGGTACCAAACCCATAGAAATGTAAACAAAATTTGTACTTATTATTATAATCTCTATGAAATATCTGATAATATGATATGCATATGTTTAATGTTCATTTTTGACCGCCAGTATTTTTCACTTTTTTATTGCATCTCCGGAAACGCTGGACCTGCGTTTTCCAGTTGTTCATTTCGTCAATACAAGTAAAATATTTTTTGGATCATTCAAATAGGTCGCTCTGTTCTCTCAAAAACGAAAATACCATTTTTCGCACTTTTTGTCCCGTATCTTGGAAACGGCTAGACCTGTCTTTACCAAAAAACTAATCAGCATGTCTCCGTATTATTAACTTCCCATAAGGCAAGTTATTGTAATCGCAAAAAAATCGAAAATGAAAATTTTTATATATCTTTACGTTTCAAAGGTTTCTGAATATTTTGGCATACCGTAGAAAAAATGGATGTATGTGTGTGTGTGCGTGTGTGTGTGCGGATACAAATGTTCGTCGACGATTTCGGGAACACCGATCAACCGATTTGGATAATTCATATTGATAAGGAGACGTGCTGATTAGTTTTTGGCGAAGGCAGGTTCCGAAGATACGGAGTAAAAAGTGCTAAAAACGGTAATTCAGATTTTAAGAAAACGGGGCGTCCGCTTTGAATAATCCAAAAAATATTTTACTTGTATTGACAAGATGAATAACTGATTAAATTTTGGGGAAGGCAGGTCTAGCGGTTATAGACTCTCAATAAAGATATGTTAAAAAAAGGCCATTTGGCGGTCCAAAGTGTTTATTGGACATATGTATATCAAATTATCAAATATTTTATAGAGACTTTAACAATCTGTACTCAATTTGTGTAAACTTTTTAGGTTTTCGTACCAAGATTTTTATTTTAAAATTCACGTAAATGGTTCAAACAAATGTCCTCGTCATTTTCGAAAGTCTGGAATGATCGATTTGAATAATTTATAAAACATTCGATTCGTATTGATAAGGAGACGTGCTGATTAGATTTTGGAAAAGCCAGGTCTAGCCGTTCCGAAGATATGGGGCAAAAAGTGCTAAAAACGGTAACTCAGTTTTTAAGAGAACGGAGCGTCCGATTTAAATAATCGCAAAAAAATCGAAAATGAAAATTTTTATATATCTTTACGTTTCAAAGGTTTCTGAATATTTTGGCATACCGTAGAAAAAATGGATGTATGTGTGTGTGTGCGGATACAAATGTTCGTCGACGATTTCGGGAACACCGACCAACCGATTTGGATAATTCATATTGATAAGGAGACGTGCTGATTAGTTTTTGGCGAAGGCAGGTTCCGAAGATACGGAGTAAAAAGTGCTAAAAACGGTAATTCAGATTTTAAGAAAACGGGGCGTCCGCTTTGAATAATCCAAAAAATATTTTACTTGTATTGACAAGATGAATAACTGATTAAATTTTGGGGAAGGCAGGTCTAGCGGTTATAGACTCTCAATAAAGATATGTTAAAAAAAGGCCATTTGGCGGTCCAAAGTGTTTATTGGACATATGTATATCAAATTATCAAATATTTTATAGAGACTTTAACAATCTGTACTCAATTTGTGTAAACTTTTTAGGTTTTCGTACCAAGATTTTTATTTTAAAATTCACGTATATGGTTCAAACAAATGTCCTCGTCATTTTCGAAAGTCTGGAATGATCGATTTGAATAATTTATAAAACATTCGATTCGTATTGATAAGGAGACGTGCTGATTAGATTTTGGAAAAGCCAGGTCTAGCCGTTCCGAAGATATGGGGCAAAAAGTGCTAAAAACGGTAACTCAGTTTTTAAGAGAACGGAGCGTCCGATTTAAATAATTCAAAAAACATTTCACTTGTATTGACGAAATGAACAACTGGGAAAATTTTTGGTAAGGCAGGTCCAGCGGTTATAGACTCTCAATAAAAATAAATTAAAAAAGTGTCATTTGGCGGTCAAAAATGTTTATTGGACATATGTAGGGTAGGGCGGGGCTAGTTGAGCAAATTTTCACTTAAACGGATGTAGCTCCTCAATGAAAAGTCTCAATAAATTGCTATACGGCTTAATGGATTTGTTGTTTATCGCTTAACAAAAGTGTTAATACTAGTTTTTGGTAATAAGTAAAATTTAAAAGCTATAGCTATTTAAATGCAAAAAGTCAAGTATGCTCAATGTACCCCATAGGTGGGGCAAGTTGAGCACTAAAAAGTATAATGAAATTATAGGTTCAATGTTGATTAGTGATGTAATAAAATAAGTTTTTAATAACCAGTTCTATATTTATAGTCTTTATTGACAGAGAAAACAAAACTTATAGTAATTTGCTTTGAATAATTAACGATTAATTAACTTAGGAATTATTTTACCATTATATTCAGTATTTTGGTTTAAAATCATTATTTCTTTATATCATTACTCATAAACTTAGCTTAAACCTTAAACATAATAATTAATTTCTGGAAGTTAATGGTAATTGTCTTAGTGACAGAACAAGTTTAGCAACTATGCTCAATTTACCCCAACTCGGAATTTCAAAATAAAATTGAGTTTTTAAAAAAACAGTGAGAATTATACCCAGAATCTCTGTGAATATTAAAAGTACTATAATTATATGGAAGAATATGAATTACCTGGTTAAAAATAAATAACATTTGACTAAACCAGACGAAAACTCGTTATGAATGACTTTTTTACTTTTTGGTCTCAAAATAAACGAAACGCCCGTGAGCCTCACTCATTTGTCCAGCGGCTACTAGCGATCGCGGGATGTCTATTTCTAGTTATAGATGTAGATGTGCTGATTAGTCTTTGGCAAAAGCAGGTCAAGCCAATACGGAGATAAAGAGCAAAAAGTGCAGAAAATAGAAGTCGATTTTTTTAAGGAACGGAGAATCCGATTTGAATGATCTAAAAAACGTGCTATTAGTAATGATTGGAAGAAATGGCTATTAGTTTTTGGCAGAGGCAGGACCAGCCTGCAAAAAAAGCAGTTTTTGAGAGAAATAAGCATCCGAATTGAATGATTCAAAAAACTTTCTGCTTGTGTTGCTAAAATAATTGCTTTTGGGAAAAAAAAATTATTTAAATTTTTTTTGTATATCGAAAATAATTCAGATTTCAATTTTAATTCTGCCTAAAGTTTTAAAATTCACTTAAATACTTCAAACAAATATTTTTAACTTCCCGTAGGGCAAGTTATTGTAATCGCAAAAAAATCGAAAATAAAATCTTTTATATATCTTTTTGTTTTAAAGGTTTCTGAACATTCTGGCATACCTTAGAAAAAATTTATGATGTGTGTGTGTGCGTGTGTGTGTATGTTTTTGTGTGTGTGCGGATACAAATTTTTGTCGACGATTTCGGGAACACGGATCATCCGATGATAATAATTCAAATAACATTCGATACGTATTGATAAGGAGACGTGCTGATTAGTTTTTGGTGAAGGCAGGTCTAGCCGTTCCGAAGATACGAGGCAAAAAGTGCCAAAAATTGTAACTAAGTTTTTAAGAGTACGGAGCATCCGATTTAAATAATTCAAAAAACATTTTTCTTGAATTGACAAGATAAAAAACTGAATAAATTTTTGGGACGACAAGTCTAGCGGTTATGGACTCTCAATAAAAGTAAGTTAAAAAAATGCCTTTTGGCGGTCAAAAATGATCATTAGACATGTGCACATCAAATTATCAGATATTTTATGGAGATTTTCATTATGTGTACACATTTTGTGTTAATTTTATTGAATTCCGTACCAAGGTTTTTAATTTTGAAGTTTATTTATATGAATCAAACAAATGTTCTCGACATTTTCGACAGTATGGAATAACCGATTTGGATAATTTAAAAAACATTCGATTCGTACTGATAAGGAAAAGTACTGATTAGTTTTTGGCGGAGGCATGTTTAGCTGTTCCAAAGATACGCGGCAAAAAGTGCGAAAAACGGTAACTCAGTTTTCAAGAAAACTGGGCGTCCGATTTTAATAATTCAAAAAACATTATACTTGTATTGATAAGATGAAAAATTGATAAAATTTTTGAGAAGACAGGTTCAGCAATTATGGACTCTCAATAAAAATATGTTAAAACTAGTTGGTATTGGTATTTTGCTTTGAAGCAAGTTACATGAACTTCCCGATATGTGTAAATAATCGACTTAATCAATAAAATATAAATTAATTTATGAGTTGGGTAGGGCGGGGCTAGTTGAACAAATTTTTACTTAAACGGATGTAGCTCCTCAATGAAAAGTCTCAATAAAATGCTATACGGCTTAATGGATTTGTTGTTTATCGCTTAACAAACGTGTTAATACTATTTTTTAGTAATAAGCGAAATTTAAAAGCTACAGCTGTTTAAATTCAAAAAGTCATGTATGCTCAATGTGTAATGATATCATAGGTTCAATGTTGATTAGTGATGAAATAAAATAAGTTTTTAATAACCAGTTCTATATTCAGCCGAGAAAACAAAACTTGTAGTAATGTGCTTTGAATAATTAACGAAAAGTAGAATCAACAAAACAATATCGTATCTTAGGAATTATTTTACCATTATATTCAGTATTTTTGTTTAAAATCATTATTTCTTTATATTATTACTCATAGACTTAGCTTAAATCTTAAAAATAATAATTAATTTCTGGAAGTTAATGGTAATTGT